AAACAAACGAACAAAACGAAAGTCACACATCTCAAACAACCAAGGACTTTACAAGGCCACAATGAAATTTGCGGATATGTCTGTACAGATCCCCGGACTGCGTGAAGCGTCTCTCGCACCACTTGCACCCGTGGGGTTTCTCCCGGGTGTGCACGACCGCGTGGCGGCTGAGGTTGTGGGAATACTGGAAGCTCTTCCCGCACTGGCCGCAGGTGTAGGGCTTCTCCCCCGAGTGAGTCCTCTCGTGCCTCTTTAGCGTGTACATGCAGGAAAAAGTCTTTCCGCAGAGGGTGCAAGTGGGGACCGACCCGTCGGGGGACAGGCGGGTCCGGGAGCCGTCCTTGTCGCGGAAGTGAGAGCTCAGGTGCAGCTGAAGGATGTGCGGGCTCGGGAACACCTTGCTACAGAGGGGACAAATGCAGATATGCCCAGGAGGCACCAGGACGCCCGAGGAGATGTCCGACGAATCCATGTCGTCCTCGCTCTCGTCTCGCTCTTGATCTATATCCTCCTCTCGGGCATGAGAGCTGCCATTCCCCGCGAACATGTGTCCTAACCCTGTCACTAGGCTTTTGGCTGAATTCCCAAAATGCTGACTCTCTGGACTCCTGGCTTCGCCGTCCTCCTGATCTGACAGCAAGTCTTGTTCATCTTTAACAAGTGGCTCGGTACCCTGCTGCTGGCTGTCGGAAGCCAGCTGTCCAAAGACATAGGAGGGGTGTAAGGAATCTCTCCCCGGCACGGGCTTGAAAGACAAATCCAGCGCGCAGTCCACATCACTCGAAGCCAGGGGATGGTTAACAGACCTTTGGGACAAAGGTCCTGTGGAACTATTGACATTAGCCTTTGTTTTTCCAGCTGCTGCGGCGCACGGTTCTGCCTCTGTCGGCACAGAGCTGACACTTATATGATCAGAGGACCAGGCGGGGTGACTGCTGACCTTTTCTTTGCCTGCTGCTCTCTCGTATTCTGCAACGCTGAATTTTTGTTTGTTTCCTGGGTCAAACTCGTGGACCAGGGGCACTCCGGCGTCTAGAAAATGCTCCGCTTTCTCCAAACTAGCCGCCTCATCATTAATCTTCTCTTCCGAACATAATTCTTTATCTTTCAACTTGCCCTTGCAGACTTTCACAATGTCATACATGTGAAGGTAGCTCGCCGCAGCCAGCACATCTTCCACTGGGAGACTGTTGAATTCCAGCTTTCCCTCGTACATGAATTCAAGCAGCAGGCTGAAGGCAGGGGCTGTGACAATGTCACTGTTCAGATGCACAATATCCCTTTTGTCTAACTGGTCCCTGTAGAAAAGATGGAAGTACATACTGCAAGAGGCAAGAACGGCTCTGTGAGCTCTGAATTGAGCTTCTCCAACTAAAACAGTACAGTCACACAGGAAGCCCTGGTGACGCTGCTGACTCAGACACTGCAGCAACTGGCGGCTATGGTCTGGAAACTCCATTCTTCCTTCATAACCTGTTCAAAACAGGAAAAACTTGAATGCTACTGTAAACTAAAGCCTCCTAGCAGCTGTAACAAACAGATCGGCTTTTTGGTAACCCAAGCCAAAGAAACAGCCTTGGAGATAACATTTACTGTTAATTGTCTGTAATAGTTTTATTAAAGGGGGGGGGGGGGGGGAGGAAAAAAAAAAAACCACCAACACAACATGTTTCTCATCCTTTCGCACCTGCTCCGAACAGGAAAAACTTGATTGTAAGTAAACAAAAGCTAGTAAAGCAGCAGCCCCTCCAACCTTTGTTTCTCCCACTAAACACTTTAATAAAATTATGCAGAGGAAAGCGCACACACCCCCGAAAAGAAAAAAAGCATCAACTCCCAGGCTGTCTTCCCAGCAACGCTAACTTGGGGCATCTTTTAATAAAGCATATTCCCCGCGACACGCACGCACACACTCACACGCACATTTAAACTTTATCTTCAGTCGTTATGCACCGAATCACAACAAAACAGCGGCGGCTGGCGCTGGGGGAGCGGCGGCTCTGCGGGGAGGGGGGCGAGAGGCCCCGGCCCCCGCACGCCAAAAGGGCGGGGGGGATAAAGGGGGGAAGGAAAAAAAAAAGTTTTCCTTGAAGTTATTAAAAGGCAAGGAGGGAAATAAGCGGCGGAAGGCCGGCGGGAGGGCAGGACGGAGGCTGCAGCCGGCTGCGTGCCGCGGCCAGGCGCTTACCTTGCGCGGGGCGCGGCGGGGCCGGCCGCGGGCGCGGAGCCGGGCGGGCAGGAGGGAGCGCGGTGCGAGTGCGACCGAGGCGCGGCGGGAGGGAGGGAGGGGGAGAGAGAGAGAGAGGCAGGCGGGAGGGAGGAGGAGGGAGGGAAGGAGGAGTGCTCGGTTTGCTAATTACACCGCAAGCTGGAGAGTCAGCTGCTCTGACTTCACTGCGATGGAAATGCTACCTCCAGCTGTGCGCCTTTTAATGCCATATGTTACTCCAAATCTCGCTACCAGCCAACCACAGCTTGCTGCCTTTTAAAGTTCCAGCAGCCCCATTTATAGCCCGCGATTAAATCCCACAAACTTGCCCCGAGCCCGCCCCCCCACCTCCGACACTCTCGCCACCACCAGCCCCCAGCCCGGACCCCACCTCCCGCCGCAAAGTTGCTCCCCGCAGCCCGCCGCTGTGACCTTCGCCGGTGCCCGGCTCCGCGCCGCGCCGGTGGGGCCGGCAAGGGGAAGCACCGCGGAGCCGCTCCCGGGATCTCCCCCTTTCACAGCCGCGCTCCCCCAACTTTGCGGGGAGGACTTTCCCCCGCCGGGGTGTGGCGCGGCGGCGAGTTCCCCGCCGCGTTTCCCCGCTCCGCGGCTCTCCCCGCGGTACTCACCGGCGGGCGGCGGCGGCGCTCGGCGTCCGCATGTGCGCGGCGGCGGCGCGGGCGCTCCGCGGGCGCGGCGCGGGGCTGTGGCGGAGCAGGTTGTTCGCCGGCCGCTCTCGCGATACTTTCGCTGCTGCGAGCCGCGGGTGCGGGCTGGGTGCGGTACGAGCGGCCGTGTCCCCGTCTGGAGCACACAATGGCCCCGCCGCCCCGGCCAGCCCCGCCGCCGCCGGCCGGTGCGCGCTGCCGGCTGCGCCCTCCCCTTCGCCGCCTCCGCCTCCTCCTCCTCCTCCTCCTCCTCCTCCTCCTCCCGCTGCTGCCGCCGCCGCTGCCGCTGCTGCCGCCCTCCCCTCGCGGCCGCTGCATTGGCAGCGCCGCCGTCCCGCTCCCAACTCCGCTGCGCCGCCGCGGACAGGGCGCGCCCGCCCGGCCGCTGCAGCCCGACGTGCCGCGGAGCGCGGCCGGGGCAGCGGCCGCGGGGCTGGGGCGAGGGGCGCGGCTGCTCCCCCGGCACACACACACACACACACACACACACACACACACACACACACACACACACACACACACACACACACCGGGTTTGTCTGTAGTTGCGCGCCAGCTGATAAATTCCAAACGCCGACGGATTTTTCAAGATGACCTTTCCGATCGTTGATTTGAATTTTAAATTTTAATTAGCTGCAATCGCATCAAAAGTGAGCGCCCTGCGAGGAGCGGGGTTCCCGCCGGGGCTCCCGCCCCGGTCGGGGCCGGCGGACGCGGCCGAAAGCCGCCGGGAAGCCGCGGCCGCCGGAGCCGCTCCGACCCCGCTGGGAGCTGCCGGGATGTCGCGGCTCTGCCTTGTCCCAGAGCCTCGGGGCTGCAGCAGCGCCGGGAGGGGAGGCAGCGGGCTGTGGATTGAGGCTCCGGGTCGAGGGGGGTGTTGACGTTTTTGAGGGATGAATGTGAGAGTGCTGGTGGGTAAGGGACAGTGGAGGGGTAGCGGAGCACCGGGTGCACTTCAGAGCTCCCCTGCCAACGCCGTGCGTGGTGCCAGCTGAAGTCTCCAGACTGTGCTTTAGTCTCCAACAAGTACAGCAGGGAAACTCCTTTCCCTTTCCTTCCTCTAGGTTGCCTTGCCTCGATTGCAATATCTGCAAAATAACAACTTTTTTTTTTTTAATTAATCCATTTTGTTCCTTTTTTTTTTTTTTTTTTTTTTCAATGGTAGCATTAGAACCTTAAAACATCAGGTTTAATTTGGATTTAATCTAATTTGGTTTGGGTCTCTAATATATTAAGGCTCTTTGTCACAGGAGCTGGGGTCTGCATCACCAACACCGCTTTTCTTCCACAAACCTCAACTGTTTAACTCCACTAACAGTGAATGGCAGGATATTTGGATGGCTTTGAGCATTAATGATTGTGTTGTCACAAAGCTCTTCAGAGTAACAGGATTTGGTAATACTGTCAGCTCTAGGGTTCAAATTGGAAAATTCCAGCTCAGAATGTGGAGGTGCCCAGCAAAAGAGTTAAAGGTCCTGGGGTTAAATCTGTCACCATTCAGTAAAGCTGAGGGCTTTATCTATTTGTCCACTATGGCAGACAGGACTGGGGAGCTCTATCCTTTTAAAGAGGGTGTCATCCTGCAGTCACAGTCTGCGCAGGCTCGACCAAAACTGGAGCAATTTCTTCCCCAAAATGCAAGGGCAATCTCCACAAAGTTACTCTGTGGATTGCCTAACTTGTGGAGTTTTGTTGTCTTTGTACATTGGAAATGTTAGGCAGAATTTTGTACTCGTATGAATTAGGCTTCTTGGCAGTTTTGTGAAACTAATAGTTCATCTTATCCTCTCCCCTTTAATAAATAAATTGAGAAAAAAAACAAGATTACAAATAGAACCAAGATCTTAATTCCTATTTGGGCGCTGTAAGCTAGGTATAATTGTCTGCAATCTAACAGCATCTTATTTTTAGGAAGCCAATTACAATTTCACAGTAAGTCTGTGGTCATTATCGAGTTTAAAGTGTCAGAAAATAACAACAGCATTCCCATTTCCTCTAAGTATCCATTTGGCATGTTGCTGGCTTGCTTTTTCAGGACTCAGAAATACTATACTCACCTTCACACCAAGGCAATGCTGGGTACAATACAGGTGTTGTACTGATTTAGCTACGGTTGTATAAAATACTGGTAGTACAACTTGCTAATGTAAACAAGCACAAAGTCATTACTGGAAGCAAGGCAACAGGAAGAACTGCCCCAGAAACTTTATTCCAAGAGCTCCTGCATTTCTGACAGCCCTCGTGAGAGCACGACAGGGTGAGCAAACGATCTGCTTTCCTCTCCCTGGCCCCTGAGCCCTTCTCAGGCTGAGGGCTCCCCTCCCACCAAGCCCAGAGCAGGCTCTGTTTTCAGTCCTTCCTCAGTGGAGCAGAGCCAGGCAGAGCTGCTTGGCCAATACAGAGCTTTGTGACTGGTGCCTGTGCTCAGAGGAGATCACAACCACCGTGCCACCAAACAGCAGGCTGCCTGAATGTGGATGGGGACTGATGGAAGCTGTTGGGAGTGACTATGTTGGGCATCTTTGTGCGGCTGTGTGCATTCCTGGGTCTGGCTAAAACTCTCCTGGGCTCCAACAAGCCTTTTGCTGCCTATGGAGCTTTCCAAAGTTGAGCAGAAAGCCCAGCTTTAGGGCAGAGAGAGAAAAAATCAGTGGTGCTGGCAGGGCTTTCACTTGCCAGGCAAGGCTAGCCCTGCTCCTGGTTGATTTTGCTGCCTGGACACCAGCCAAAGCCCACAGAAATTAGTAGAAAAACCAACTGGATCAGGTCCATAAAGCCTGAGGACTTGCTTCCATTCTTACCCCTTTGATCCAACAAGAGTAGGTATTTACTGAGTGGGGCCTCTCTAGCCCTCTTTGTTGGCCAGATGCAGAAGCAGTAGCAACAGGTTTTTCATGCAATTTAATTGTTTTCTCTCTCACCGCATTGGGCAGAAGCCTCTTTGTGTTTGTTTCTACATGATTTCAGTGCTTTTATGTTCTTTTTTCTTTTAATAGGACATCTTCTTTGTGATAGTCCAGTTGTATCTCAGAGGGAGAGTCGGGGCCTGAGACTGTGTAATACTTGCAGGATTGAAGCTATTTTAAGTGCATTGGTCATAGTGAGGTTTATTTGCAGAAGTTCTTCCAAACTTTTTCAAAGGCTGTTTTATCCCTTGCAGACAGCAGCGAGCATTAGAAGGACTGAATGCTTCATTCCCTCCTGTGAAACAGGGAGGAATTTAACTCCAAAAGATGCAGAGATGCTGGTGGCAAGACAAGGAGCTGCCCTTGGCATCCACGGGACTTCCCCAATTAGCAATCTCCTCCAGCACTTACCCTGCAGTCAAATCCAAGGTCAGCATTTGGGGGGGTTGCTCAGTTTGCAGTCAAGTCATAAAAGTGGGCACGACTTTCCCAAAGATCTTTTCAAGCATGTCATCCAAGACTCCAGAAAGCATTAACTTGCACTGCTGCCATTCCAGACATTAATCAGAGCATATATTGCAGACAGCCTCCTCAGCAGTGTGCTTATGTGAGTCGTATTTGTTTTATGGCTGTCCTGCTGATTTCTCCCCGATAACGAGACCCTGCGTGTGCTGCAGTATTTGTGAATATATATTGGAGCAGCCAGGGCCATTGTCAAACCATCCTACCAAATGGAGAGGCTGGTGGCACTAAGCTGCATGTATAAATCACATATTGTTCTATTTGCTGTAACGTGGCTGTCAATAAGGCTGCATCAATCTAGGAACACACATTAAAATCAAAAAGGACTCTGCAGAGGTACCACTGGCACAGGTCACATTCTACTCTGCAGTGAGAGCTTGCAACATCCCTGTCCAAGCCAGCCAAGCATTTAATATAACACCTGTACCTTGGCTCCCCTGTCAGCATCTGGGAGGCAACTTTCACTCAGTTATTCATCTTCCATAGTTTCACTTACCCTTAGCTTCTGGTTATGTAGGGTTTTTTTACAGTTTACTGTGTTCTGTTTTTCTAGAAATAGTAAATGAAGGTACTTTTTCAGCCTTTATCAAGCCATTGCTTTTTCAGTAAAGAGAGAATGCTTCTTGCTTTGCAATGGTGAAGGAAATTTGCATGGCATTGACAAGGCACACTCTTCTTTCAGAGTTTTTTTCCTCTTTCACTCTTGTTCATCACCCTGGCAACTGTATTTTAACATTGCTTGGGATTTCTTTGTCAAATTAATCTAGAATTTCAAATAAAATTAATCATGTTCCTTTCTTTTTAATATTTATTTATTTATCAATGGCCAGGAAGGAACCTGAGAACCCAGATTATAAAATAACAGGTGTATAGAAGTTTGCAGCAGGATATATAGAGAAGGATGGTGAAAGACCATAAATACTAGTGGACAGAGACAAAATTGGTGTCTGCTTTGGGAGCAGACATAAAATTTATCAGACTCAGACAAAACTATTTAAATCAGAATCTGCTGTATCCTCAATAAGGGTCCAGTGTAGAGTTACTAAATTCTTATTAAAGGAGAGAATTTAATTGGCGTTGCTCTATTTGTAAGCAAATAATGCACTGTGTTAACAATGCACTTTATTTTGGTAACTCCCAGAAGAGACCTTAATACTGCAGAAGTGTTTTGCTAGACTAGGACTGGGAAATCTCAGGATGAAAACACTTGCTAAGCAAAAAATATAACCTAGAATAAAGGACTTTTGTTCTAAAGATGTTCTTATACCACTGTTGAAGCAGTTCCTCAGAAAACACTTCATCCCAGGACGAATCAATGTTAGCCACAACCACTGCCCTGAGTTTTGTAAGGCAGAGATCTGGCATATTTATCCCACTATCTGCAAAAGGTCTCTTAAGCAGGATCCATTCCTCTCCTGGGACTTGTGGGGTTGGCAGAACGTGTTCTTAGAAGAAGTGTTGGGTTCCTCCTTATATAAATCATCAATCTCAAGGCATAAAAGTATCTGTCTTTTCACACATGTGGAGTATATAATATGAATCTTCTCTTTTGCTTTTCCAGGGGGTTTCCAAATC